GCCTAGTGGTACCATTGTGAAATTATTAGCTTCACTATACATGTTCGATTTCTGTCGAGGTTGGTGATGAGACCAAAATGACTTTTAAACTGAAGTCCAGCTTGGAGGAAACTATTTTTTGGAGACAATACTGAATGCATATCAGTGGCATGTTGAGGCGCAACTTAGGATTATAATGGCTCTTGCTCAAGATTTATTGATAGTCACGATACCCATTAATTGTCATCATTCATTTAGAAATCACAACTTAAAAACAGCTGTCTTCAAGGCAAAACATACTTAAGCTCTTCAAACAAATTTTGTTTAAGTCTACTTCACTTCAATCGCAGATAAATTGGTTTCTGACTTGGTTTGGCCAACGTTTTGTAGATCATATCCGGTATGCACACATTCATAAGCAGCTAGTTAGAGAAGGGTATTCTCTACTTTAACCTGCTTTCAACCGTCCTCGAACCAACTTCCTGGTATCAATATTTGCCTCACTATTGTCTCTTACTCATTCTGTTCTTTCGCCAAGATATGATCCACAGGACTGGAAATTGCGGAACCTGTACACCTCGACAAGTAGCCAAGCTAAGAGGCCCAGCCAAAAACACTTGTCCATTGCAACGACCCTTCTTTAAGCCAAAGTTATTTCACCAACATCAGCATTTCCACTACTTTTCCCGTCAAATACATGACATGTCAATCCAGTCAAGCGAGACGTATTGCGATCTGTTGCCCCAAGCAAAGCGTAATCTTTCCCGCCATCAGTTCATGCATTTGTCAGCTCTGAGTCCCTTAGACGGCACCTCTTGTCTGCCGTCAAAAGTGACGAATGACCCGAACAAGGTAGCTCATGTGTTTGGGCGCTTGGAATGGCATGTTCCTTTCTTTTGAACGCCTCAATCAATATTGCCCATTTCAACTCAGTCGTCGCATGCGCGAGGAGAGCAAAGGTTCGTTGGAAGGATGAAGAAAAGCAAGATTCCAATACAGAAAAACGAGCGATCCGAAGAGCGAAATGACACTCCTTCCTCGGATGACTTGTCGTCCGTGGCGACCCGATCATCAAAGACAGTAACCGAGCAAGTGAACATCGTGGAGTAAGCATTTCTCGTAACGTCTCTTCCTCTCTCCTCTCGAAGACACCATCCTTCCTTCATTCCTTCCTTCACTCACTCACTCATTATGCGCTAGTCCGGATAGAATGAATTCTGGAGAGGCGCCACACAATCAGACGTGGCTTTAGCTTGTATGCCTGAAGAGCAACGAGCGCCATGATTGTATCCACGTAGGACCCCAGATTTTACCGGCTCCATTTGGGGCATTCGCTAAGACGGATTACAGGACAATTTGCTACAATACCTTCTGTTTTCAAGTAAACGAGACACTTTTTCTTCGGCTTTTCACACTTACTGCTCGACGATACGCCATATCACCTTTGTTTATGGCATGTGTCTGGCGAAAATAGGCATAATAAATAGGACAAGTATATTGCTTCTATTGACACAATTCGCTAGACACATCATGAACAAATAATGGCGAATTTTTTTACTAATCCTAATCTAAAAACAACAGAGAGGAAGTTGTCTAGCAGTCATGACACCAACATATGCAACCTAGGCTGACTCGGCTTCCTATTCAAGTCTCGCTATGAATAACTTTACTTTTTAATGATTTTGTACTTACTACTGATTTACAACAGTAAGTAGACAAATGCTTCGCTTTTGAGCGAGCATCGTCGACATGGCAAAAGGTTAAGTGAGAAAGTAAGATGGCCATTTAATTTGATGGCATGAAAGAGAATTTCGCATGGCGCAGACTCTAAGTCGGGACCCGAGTCGAGGGACTTTATTTAAGAATGACTCTTATAATCGCTCTTATACGCAAAAATGTGCCATTATTTTAAAGTAAACATTGTACGATGCGTGGAACTCCATCAATATGCTCCACCAAAGTTTATTATTATAGATGAATCTCCTGAGGCAACAGTATTGTTGGGACTTGCATTTCGTATCGAAAATGTAAAAAAAAAAAGATTCAAAATTCGATTTCACCAGAAGAGGACGGTTGAATCCCGTTGTACTGCAGTCATTTGGCTTTAATACGGCGTTCAGGTTGACGCAGTCCACGAGACCTTCATTTTTTCAGGTGAAAAAGAACTGAGTTTTCGTCCATCATATGATGGACATCATCAGAGCTGGGACTCATTCTTGTAAAATTCTCAAGATAACCTATATATATATATATATATATATA